AATGTACTTAATAGTAGTAGATAAGTAGATAAAGTCATATGGAGCGTCACGAGTGTTCTTCCTTTACCATCATAAGCGAGCAGTGTCGGTAAGCGTAGGTAAGGCACCACCGTCAACTGCCGCATGGTATTACCGTCACGAGGACGTGAGCCGCCAACGGTCACTGGTAGATGGTACCGCTATCGCGAGTGCGCGAGCTCAATATCAGAAATTCGTTGCGCCGCCCTTGGGGGAAAAAAACAGTGAAAGCTAACGTACGAAACCAGAGGGCAGCACAGGATGCGATCGCACGATCCTTTCCGTGAGCAATCTCCCAACTCATCTCTGGACGTACGTACGAAAGCGGTACGTAAGCTAACGTTCTACGACAAATAGTCAAGGTATCACTAGTAATTAAAAATGTATTATTCCAGGAAGTCTTAAAATTCTCAACATGCCCAAGTATTATTGTGATTATTGCGACACATATTTAACGCATGATTCGCCGAGCGTGCGGAAGACTCATTGCCAAGGACGCAAACATAAGGACAATGTAAAATATTTTTATCAGAAATGGATGGAGGAACAAGCTCAACATTTGATCGATGCAACAACAGCTGCATTTAAGGCAGGGAAAATTGCCTCTAACCCATTTGCAGCTAATAAAGGTGCAGCGATTCCACCTCCACCAAATCTTGGACCTCGACCTGGAGTACCACCGCAGGGACCTCCTGGTATGATGCCACCTCCCGTAATGCATCCCGGAGGGCCGATGGGACCAGGTGGGCCAATGATGATGGGACCCCATGGACCGATGCCTCCGATGCTTGGTATGAGGCCACCTATGATGGGTCCAATGGGTCCTATGGGTCCTGTGATGGGGCCTATGGGTCCAATGGGACCTATGAGACCTCCAATGAATGGGCCACCACCTCCTATGAGTGGGCCTCCACCAATGAAAAAATAAACGTATATTAAACTATTCATCATAACCTTCTCAATATTGGAGTAATGTTCAATAATTATTGTGAAACCTTTTTTTTTACATAAATTGAATGACTACGACCGTGTGTATGTGACTTCAATCAGCTGTGTACATTGGATCGAAGTGTCCCGTTGTTTGTAAATACTAGAATAAATCAAAGATTATTTATAATTAACTTGTGTTACTCGTTAAGAGCAGCAATTGCGCCGTTTCGGAACATATTATTATCTCTATAGTAATCTATGCTCTTATCCGAGTAACATTCTTCATTTTGGAAATAATCGATCTTACATTCAATGACATTGGTAAGGAAATAAATACAGCATCATTGTTAATTTTTAAGGGTTGCATTTAATGAGAATATCAACCAACAAAAGGACATGTAGTAATTTTGAGAGCAAAACAATTGCTCTTATCAAAGATAATTTGTATTTTTTAATACAATGTTAACCTCTTATCGCACCACTAGAACATGGTCCAAAATGATTCGTCTCCACAACTGTAACAGAATTATTTCCAATTACTTACTTATTCTTGTACAAAATTACTAAAGTTACTTGACCGTATCCCGTCGATTTGATTTTCCTGTACCCTAATTTTGCTTATTTTACTCACAATAAAAGATTAGCGACAAAGCGTACATGATTCTAAATTTAATGTTTTTAAGTTTCCCTGTTGTGACATTTGGGATCTTATAAAAGTATCAAAAAGTTTTACACTTCTGGAAAGAGAAACAGCAAAACCGTGAAATATATGTCCATCGATTCGATAATAAATCGGTGCAACGAACCTTTCCCACATCGCCTGGCACAAGTAAGTCTTCCAGGATTGGAGTACGATACCCCGTCGGTTCCACAAACTGGATTGTATTCCGGTGTGCTCTGAATAGGAACAGAATTCATTTAAAAATGCCATGCGACGTCGTAGCAAACAAGTCTCGAAGAGAGTTTATTAACAGATTCTCAAAAGTTATTCGTTCCGCTTCCTTAAGCTTTTCCGTGATAAAACCGATTTCTTACTTTGCGAGATCCTTGAACATTTGGCATCGCATTAAAGTTTACAACGAGTCGAAGGAACCGTCCTCTTTCACCATGCAAACCTAGACCTCGTACCGAATCTCTGAAATTCCGAGATTCCGAAATCTTCGATAATCAAAATGGCTTTAACCGTGTGGGTGAGCAGTTGCCTCACGTGATACATTCGTTTACCCCTTCCAGGGTAAAGCGAAGTGTATAGATATATAGACTAATCCGATCTTACGCGTACACAGCGCACCCAAGTCGCGCGACCTTCTCAACCCGTTTTCGAGTTTACCCCTTCCACCGCGATGCGTGGTCTGGGATCGTCCTCTTTCGAACTATCCCCAAGCAATCCCGAGATAGTCCCTACCGGGCACGAAGCTTCGCAGTCGCTCATCCTGGTAGGCTCGGCCGGAGCCTGCGTCGTCGTAGCGGCGGACGAGGTGGCCGGCCTTGGTTGACCCCAGTCACTGCCATTCGCGTTATCGTCTCCTCCTTGAGGGAGCGGCCTGTTGGCTGGTCTGTCGGCCGGACCGTCGAAAACGAAGTCGTCACCGGACCTTGGTCCGGAGTTCGAGGTCACCGAAACTTGAGAAAGCGCTCCGGTCGCGGGTCGCTCGCTATTCTGGGACAATTAAAGGGGAAAGTGCGTCCCCTCGTTGACACGTTGACCGCCACGGTGGTCACCGGCAGTCACCGGAGACCGCCGTAGCGACCGACGCGTTAAATTCGCCTTTTGCTATATTCGCGGAGGCCTCGATTGAGCGCCGGGCATAAAGAAAATCTTGTTACGTTCGAATTGACGGTGGAACGAGGATTCCAGGCACGGGATTGTAACCACGGGAATATTACCTGGGGGAGAGCACGAGGACTCGTCGCGAGTACCAATGCACTTACTATCGCGCACAAAACGGTACGACCGGTCATGTTCGGCAAAGAGTCTTTTCGAGCATTGAAATTCTCCGACCCGAAGTTCTGGGCGATCGCCTTGAGTTCAATGTTAATTTATTCGTCGCTCGAGAGCCAGACCGCGCCGGCGAAAACTTACTGAGCGAGGATGGCTGCGCCCGCCTCGTTTATATATACCGATTCTGCACGCCCAAACGGGTCGGGCATGTACGTACATGCGTACACGCGTACGGACGCACCCGGGCCACCCTCGGCCCCTGCCTTCTCCAGAATCCTTTCCGCTTCGACGAGGCCATCTCCTACTTTTAAATACGTTCCACGTGCTCCTAGGAGTCGTTCATTTTTACCCCTTTTCAGCTGCCCAATGCCGTTCGAGCTAATCGGCCGCAACGCGATGCGTCGCGATGCCGACGACAACGCGCATTAACGTAGATTGAACGTCAAAGTGTCAATTTCTATATGTATTATGCCTCCCTCTCCCTCTGCGATCCCTATAATGGGATCTGCAATAGGCTACAATAGGGCTTGGGGGGCAACGACGAAGCAAGGTCTGTGTATTCGTCGGATTACCGCAGATCCGTCCGTTCCACAAAAAATAGATTTTACCTGACACTTGATTCAACACAAATATTAACCGATCAACTCACGTTTTCTTCGAATTTCGAAAGTTCCTCCATCTGCTCGATAAATCGAACCCGACTAGTCAATCAGTCATCAGAAACGATCTATCGCGCGTTATTCGGTCGCATTAATAAAATAAACATTCAACATTTTGTGCAAATGACAGTTTTTAGGGATAAAATACCCAGGCATACAGAGTTTCAGATTAAACGCCGGTATGCGCTTTTCGGAACTTTACTCGCTTTCAGAAATTTCACTTTGCAATTGAATTCCTTTGAAAATTCTCTCGAATATTCGTCTACATTTACGACTCATGAAATCCTCGTTAGATCACATCGGTGCGGATCCATCGATATTACTCGACATAGTTATTCATTAGAATGTGAACGATATTATTTCGTCAAGTGATATCGATCCGGTTGAGACGACATAAACCAATACCTTTACCAGGTGTCCAAACTTTGATGTCATATAAATATGTAGCATTTAAGCCTGTACCTGCGATCGATCCATGCGCTAGGAAGATGTGTTCGTTTGCAATGAGAATCGCTGGATTCTCGGTAGAGGATTATTTTTCCTCGTTGCTCAACCGTTAGATCGGGTTCAATCGAGCTGCTTCGGCAAGGATCAGTCATCCCAGTCATCGTCGGTCCTTGCCGAGCTTCGAGTCCGTTCCTTACATTTATCATGAAGTACTGCGTCATTTTATATTTCTCGGGTCAGTTAACGATCTTTGACGAAGCTTCATTTTCTATCGTATTCAATTGCACTTGCAAATGCTGTTCCGTAACACCGTTCGAATTTGGTCTTCCTCGGTTGACCGAAAGATGTGCCATTCGAAAATTTCTTTTACCCTCTCTGCGAAATAATTCTTAAAAAAACTCTGTACTTGTAGCTATTTTAACATCGTATTGCGGTTCAACGCCAGACGATGACGATACACCTTGGGTTTGGGAAAGTAATCAGGAAAATGGTTTACCTAAGCCCGCTACGTCAACGATGACGACCAAATTGGAAGGAACGACTGCTACTGTCAGTCCTACAACGGAAAGTTCCGTAGATACTCCCAGGACCTGTCCGCAGTGCTTAATAACTCCGGAATACAATCCTGTGTGTGGAACTAACAAGGTCACGTACAATAATCCCAATGCCCTTAAGTGCGCTAAATTTTGTGGACAAGGTAAGTTCTTTGGATTAAACCGATGAAATACGTATAGTATTAATGATTACTTATCGTCAATGAAATTATCGACTATTCGTAATAAATTAGGAGGTAAACTAAACAAAACTACGCGTGAACTTTTTTTGTTAAAGAAAAAAAGAAAGAATAAGAAACGTTTTAGGGCAAGCAAATACGATTGGTTATTTGCTTGTACATGGATTACAAGTTCTCGTTCGTTAGGAACTTATTCAATTTCTCTTACGGGTTTTAAAATAATAGGAATGTTTATTCCCTGGTTGGTTTGCATTGGCAGTTGATAATCTTGATTAAGAGAATATTTAGTTTGACTTTTGTAACCCTTGCGTTTAGAAATGTCAGTATCCTTGCTGATCTTGGAAAGATTTCTTTCTCTTCGATTCCTACAATGTACAATCCCGAAGTACCATCTATATAGAATTAATTAAACAGCATACATCAAAGGGCTTAAGGTAATCGCTGTTTCTTTTTCTAGATGTGGACCTCCTGTTTTATGGTGCATGTCTTCCCTTAGCTTAAAGTGTTAGTCATTGTGGTGTAAAGTTACAATCAACCGAAATAAAAATGTAATTTTTCTGCGGACAACTTTTAGCTTCATTTGTCTAATGGATTTACTTTATTTTCATTTAACTGCAATTCTTTCTCCGTAGCTTCTCAAATTGGCAATTGCGTTGCGAAGAAGATTATATTATTCATAAATCGATGTCTTTGAGTAAACGTGTAATCGTGCGAAGACTATTTTTCTTCCGACATTGTTTACGTAAGGGAATCATTTCTTCAAGCGGTTAAGCTTTATTGTCTGCACACGTGCCATTGATTGAGGTTTACTTATTATAATGTATAGCTTAAGCACAGCGCAACGTATTAATTAAGAAGTGCAAATTAAGAAGTGAAAATATTATGCGATGACGATAATGTAAAGAAAAAATGGAATAGGACAATCTATAAAGTCGACGTTTTTCTAATTTGAAATCAGGATTTGGCTAGTTTAGACCGGAAATTTAATAAATGTTTTCTTTTTTCTCAATTAATTTCTAAACGTCCGAATTCTAGAGAACTATAATACCATATTAACGATATCGTGTAATGTAATCATGTGTCAGTAATGAGCTTAGGCCCTCTAAAATTAATGTAAGTGAAAACTTATATGAAATTATAACGTTATCTCTAATATACACAAGCTTTTTTATGCGTACATAGAGGCAACATAGAGGAACGATACTCTTTTATTCTGAAAGAAAATAAAAACTCGTAAATTCATTAAAAGTTATACCTTTAATTGTATGCTTCTATTTCTCCCATTATCAGATAATTGGCAGTTTTAGGGAATGATCATCCGGAAATCACTTCACGGCCAATTGATGAAACCTGTCTTATAATCGGTAACAATCTATGTTCACCTTGAATTACATTATCTGCCATAGAAATATTCCTTGCATCGTGAGGACACAGTATCTCTGGGCCAGTTGTTATTTTCTTTCTTTAGGTATTCATTATTATTTTTGTATCCGTAGTAAAACTTGTTTAAGGTAAAAAGAATTTACAAATGTGTTAGAAAAGAAGTGTGAATATGAGCTGAAATTATTTCAATTACAGGCTTTGCGTATGTATTATGAATGGATATTTTATCAAAGTTGTTGACGTTATTTCTTATTAAACATTAATTATGTCTTTTATATTTAGAGAATTAATAAATTCATCGTAATGAAGCAAGGAATTGCTAAACAAAGAGTGAACGTCAGCAATTACTCGGTACATTCTAATGTTGATTGGCTAAAAAAAAAAATTCATGTCATATATCCGAATTGCACTGTAGTATGTCAATTTATCTAATGTTAAAAACATTAATTGTAACCCGGACCAGCGATTTAGTAAGATTTATCATAATCACTGTTAGCTGACATGGTATGATTATGTACTCCATGAACGTGTGATTTACCAAACAGATTTTACGATTGATTAGGTTGACATGCTGCATATACTGGACTAGCTTTTTGCTTTGCTAAGTCGGTAGCCTTCTTAGCAGCGTCTTTCATTTTTTCGGCTTTATCGTGCAATGAATGCTGTAAATCTTCTGCTGCATGACTGAATTTCATCATAGGTGGATTTGCCAGCTACAAAAATGTTGACAACTCATTAAATTTAACAGATTGCTGACGTTAATTTAAGAAGACGATAAGCATCCATAATTACGTTATATTAAAGTATTTCTTACCCGATCTGTGAAACCCATTTGAGCAAGAGTGGGATTCATAAACTGTGCACTATGTGGGAACATATGACTAAGAACATAATTGAAGCCACCCGACATTTTGGCACAGTTCTTCTTGAATCTGTCCAGTCCAAAGGCTTGAATTGCACGGCTAAAGCCAAATACTTGACTATCGATCCATGCCGATCTATTGGCTACTGTCCATTCTGGATTGTCTTCCGATACCTTATACACTACCTTTTCCACTACACTCTGTTGAAATAAATGTTCAGTTACATTTCAATGAATTGTAGAAAAGCCATAAATGAAACCAACCTTATATTTGTGCTAGTACATTATTACTTATGATAGTTGATTTCACAGCTTCTTAAGCACAAAGAAATTCTTACCATGACTTTAGTATATCCCAGATTTCGTGTGTAAGTTGTCAACATTTTCTCTTTGGGATCAACAATGCTTTCCTCAACTACTTTTACTACATTCATACTGATGAATCTTTCACCCCATTTAGGTACTCTGTTTGTTTTAGTTAGCAACCTCTTGGAATACAACTTTCCATTCTTCACCTCTCTAAACACTGTGTCTTCCGAAAGAACGTGGGAGCTGCGAAAAGGAAATATAGGACTTATAGTTGTTTTACGTATGCGAAGAGAAGAATCTAGTTTAAACACTTAAATTGTGTTATCCTATGAAAATAAGATTTCAAATATATAAATACCTATTAGGATTCGGATATCGTTGCCAAAATCCTTGTGCCACTTGAGCCCAATTAAATTGAAAGATTATGCTATTTTCATAATATTTTACCATTTTGTCTCCAATAAAATATCACTTTGGAACTAAAGGCCACGGAAAGGGAAATGGGTATGCGTGTGTTATGGGACTATGTCCATTGAATTTTAAAACATAATATTAAAAGGTATGTCATTGCCAAATACATCTGCGAATTAATTTTGTTTGTAACCTGAAAGTAAAAACAAGTCATTATACTGCTAAGTGTAAGTGTACTCATATGAAGATAGAGGATACTAGAAGTTTAATTTAAATAAGTATCATCTATGCTTATTTTATTATATTTCCATTGAAGATACGATTTATATCGATTTCCACAATTAGGATCAATTTTTTCAATCAACTCCAACTTATCCGAAAATAAGCTAACTTATGTTGCACTTCATGTTACCCTTAAACACATAATTCTAAAATCTATCGAATCGCTTACTAGGTTCCTACAATTATATAACATGATTTATAATTTCCAAATCAACCGGAGATCAAAGTAATTAAAAAATGATTCTATTCTTGAAACACGGTCGTATTCACTGTTACGACTCTGAAATCACGTAGGCCACCAGCGGTGAAAATCCGTGGCAAGGATTACGTACACTCATTTAACGTACGGTGTTAATAATTATATAATACTATATTAATGTCACGACTTTGACCCTAATTGTTATTATATTGTGCTTTATCAGACCTTAAACTGTCCAGTTGTGCATGTTCATGTCGCGGCAGGTAACAAGTTCCTTTAAATTGAATATGAAATCCAGCGGAATGGAAAAGATCGAAAACCTAGCAATTTAACTACAAAGCAAGTTAGAGTGCCTTGTAACACCCGCCGAGAGACTCAACGATAATAAACATTTCTTCGCAAAAGGAGAAATATAGCAAAAAGAACCGTCGTTACATTGCATTACCAGGAGTTTTCAGAAATGCTGCACTCGCGAGCGAGCGTATTTCTACAACCTCGTCGACATGCTTACAGTCCGTAAACAACGTGTGTCAAAGCGATGAATTCAGACATGCTAGAGTTGGAGTAGAAGCCATAGCCCGTGTTTCGCGGCTATCGACGAGTCCCCGTCGCCTAGCGGCCCTCTACCGACATAGTTCTGTATGTACATACGTACACATTGTACCGCGTCGCGCGTATCGGGTCGTATCGGATCGCGTCGTGTCACGTTGTGCAGGGTCACGGCATGCAAAAGGGGTGGGCGCACACTTGAAAAATATTTCAAATATTCGTTGGGAGTTGGTTGGTTTTAAACGTGCCCACATTTCGATTCGAAACAAAGGCTACGTTCCGCAACGCATCGTGCCTTTCGGCGCATCGGCTCCCGAGGGGGCAGCACCTTACACAGGGACAAAGCAAGGACCGTAGGTACCGTCATCTTCTCCCCACCGGTAACGACGTTGCAATTCCTTTTCGTGGAGTGTCGGCAAGATTGTTGTATGTATGTATGCATGTATGTATGTACAAGCCTTGTCAAGTCGATGCTACGAAAGAGAGGACGAGAGCGACCACGGGCTCGGGGAGGACGGATACGAAACGTTTTACACCGCGAGCGCCGTTATTACCGCGGAAATTGGACGTACCCGATACGTCGCTTCAACGCTGAAACGAAGGAAGAAGTGCCATCCTCCTATCTAAAAACCGCCTCGGACAGTGCTCGTTTTCTCGCTGGCTTGCTCGCAGCAGCTCGCAGGAGAGAGACTAGGGCTGATGAGGAAGAATTCATTTTTTCCGCACTTGTCTTCTCGTCGGCCCTACGGACAATGTCTTTACATTGAAATTGAGCCGCTGCGATTTTTTTTTCAGAGAAGATGCAGAGGTAAGTACAGGAGATCGTGCCACTTTTCCCGAATTTTCTGACTTGCCAGCCTCCGTTGATTTTTTTCCGCATTTGCGGCCTCATCGATCTCGAAGTTCCTCTCGGCTACTGGAAGCACAGGCTGACATACGCGTCGAACGAGTCGCGCGGACATGCGCGAAAGTTGTGCGATCGTCATTGAATTTAGATTCGCGGTTAGGGGGTTTATTATGTAAAGCAAATTGAGCGAAAATATGAAAAATGAGTAGTTGACGGTATTACGGAACGTTTTTGGTGGTGAACATGCGAGACCATTCATATGAACGGCTTTCCATCTTCCCGCCTTTCCTGCCTATAAAACACTACCTCTCACAATTTTCGATTTACAAGGTATGTTTCTTTATTTGCAATATTACTAGATCGGAAGTGCTAGTGATCTCATTCTTTCATATAGCGTATAGCAAATACGTAATTCGGCGAATAAACCCACGTGAGATGAAAGTCCGAGAAGTGAGCGCTCTCGTCAAAAATACGTAAAACGCCTAGGTTCAGAGCCGCGCGTGCCCGCGCGTGCCCGCGCGCTTCCCTCTATTCCAGCGGCTTGACCCCGCAGCGTCAGTACGAATCGTGCCGCCTCGAAGATGAGAGTCGCTCCTTGATTCCCTCGTGTCGCGATGTAAAGCCACGGGACCGTTTAACTCGAAGGGGAAAACTTGAATGAATAATCCCTAGGAGAAATGAAAAGAAAAGGTTATTCGGTAGATGGATGAGTGGTAGGAGTTAATAGCAAGCGCGAGTCGAGAGGTACCAATTTTATGTTCTTGAGCATCGAAGTGGAGGATACTTTTTCATGACCGTTTGATTACAGACAAAATCGAATAGAATCGGTTTTATCTTTTGAAGCCTTTGCTTTTGGTTAAAGGAGACAGCTCTCAAGAAACTACTCGCTTCATGCGGCCGTGGTTAACTGGCTCGTATATACCGGTTGGACTGTATGGGTTGGAGGGCCGGATTCGTCCCAAACCCTCGACAATGACGATGGTGTTTTCTGAGAAATTATGTCGGTTCAAAGAGGCGTAACAGGTAGCCACCGTAACCGCAGCCGCTATTATTGCACCCTTTAATCTTGAATATCCGCTCTTCCTTTTTGAGTGAACAGGGGAAAGCGGGAGAAAACGGTTCCGCGGAAGTAAATAAATTTCTCGCGTGTTTAAATATTATAAAATAGATAGGAATATCTCGGAGAGCAAAGATTAAGCTACGTCTCGCACTTTGGCATGGAAATTGAAATTAACGGACTTATTCCTGATCGTCCTCTTTAACGACGCCACGTGTCAACTTGAATCGAAAATTTTCCCTGATTCGAACGAAATCGTATATCATATTCCCCGCCGTATCGCTGCGCGTCGTCTCGTTACGATTAAAACGCAGAGGGGGGAAGGAAGATCTCTCTTTTAACAACATCGTAGCGTTAACTCTTTACGAACGGGGAGACATTTGAATGAAAGAACCTGTCGCTAAGACCGCGAATGGAACAAGTCTCATGTAAGAAGGAAAGTAATATATCGGCACTGCAAAGTAAGGGACGGTCGGGGGTCAGCCGGTGGAGAAGACGTGAGGAAGACGAGAACGAGGATGCGCCTCTCGCAGGAGGACATCGACGGGATCCCTAAAAAATGGCTGGAAACGGTGGCCCACTATCTGACGGGATTTCGCAACGGGACCGTCGACTTTTCGCGGCCGCATTTAAGAAGCTCCGTGGCGAACGTTTATCCGCTCTTCGTCGTCATGTACGCGGCTTTAATCCTCGCTGGAACTCTCATGAACTTGGCGATGGTATACCACGTTGTAAAATACCGGCTCTACAGAGACCCCACCTACGCTTTTCTCATTAACATCGCCGTCTCGGACGCGATCAAGTGCATCTTCGTTCTTCCGATCTCCTTGGCAGTTCTCCTCGTGCAAAACTGGGTCTTCGGCAAGTTCCTGTGCTTCTTTCTGCCTATGCTACAGGTTAACCTTATATTGACTGATATATACTTTTAAGTGTACACGGTCGAAACGAATCCGCGATAAGTCGATCGAGAGACAATGTAACCACGCGTTGTTAATGTAACGCGCACGTGGATGTTACGGACAGTTACGAGGGCATTGGGAGCAATCACAATTGGAGAAGTCGATGATCGGCCGACCACTTGACGCGAATCGGTCTCGTCGGTGGGTAAGAGAATTTGGAACGTGCATCGAGCTCTCTCGTTTGACACGGTTTAAGGAATGGAAATTCTGAGGGAAGGAGCGCGCGCTCGAGCCCGGCCAATTCGTTCGCGGGGACGCGCTGGAAAATGTCGGTTCATTGTCGGAAACGCCAGTTAACGCCGCCGTCGCCACGAGTATTCCGTGCTACGCGGAATAAATAGACGAAAACCTCGTCCTTTATGCACGCGGGTTTCACGCGCGAGAGTGCCAGTTAACGAGACACGTCGGATACGTTTGGAAACATTTAACAATGTTGGCATGTTGCTAGAGACATTTTTTGGGTAGGTCTCAATCGCGTCCAGGTGCGTCTTCAAAGAACGCATCGTTGACATTTTCTAACTGTCTTTCGATATCTCGTGGATATTTTGGCGGATTATTTCCTACCGAGGTAGGAAATGAAATGAAACGGTAAAGCGGGAGTTTCCTTGGACGTCGCGAATCGACCAGGATGGCGAGTCCCCGATAGATATCCGGTCAGCTAGTTTGCGATCTTCTACCTTGTGTCGGATTACGCGAGTTGCGGCAGGTACCCACGGAAACGGAAATCGAAAGTACAAGTACCGAGCGCTTTGGCTGGCGATCGTTAGCGAGGCTCGTTTGAAGGGATTCGCCCGGGCGGAATCCACTTTCCGACTAGTGCACGATCTCATTGCCATGTAGAGTCTGGAGAGGGTAAACGTTTTCCACCTCTAATTTTCTCGGAGAGGAAAGGAACGCGAACTCCGCATAAATTACACGGACGACGCGTACCCGGCTCATGGACCGACGGCACCGGAAGCATGATAGACGAGGGAAAACACTGGAAAGCATGGCCCCTCGAAGAAGTAGTACGACCTCGCAGTGATCGGACCGCACCGGGGAATATCTTAGCGATACGAATAACGGGACAACTTCTCGTAACCACGGGATTTCGATGCATCGACGCATTCGAGGGTTATTCGATTCGAGGCCGTCTCCGCTTTTCTCGCCTGGACGCGAGATATACGCACATCTTACCCTTAACCTACCCGAATGTGGACAATCCTTTTCGCTTTCAGGACATACCGATCCACGTCTCGATGATGACGTATCTGCTGATCGCGGGAGATCGCTTGCGGCTTTTGAGCGACCCCGGGAAGCCGAGGATTCCAGGATTCGTGTGTGCCCTTGGCTCTTGGTTTTTCGCGGTCTGCATCGTGTTGCCTTATCCGATTTACACGACTTACCTGGACCTCGAGGTGAGACACGCGTAAACGCTTAAAGGACAAGTAACGAGGAATTTGGTGTACGAATCGTAAACTCGGAGCATCGAACGCGCGACCGGAACCGCGACCGGAACCGCGACTCGGATGGGAACGCGTTGAATCCTTGATTCCTCGTCTCCTTGGGGGACTGGTCCCTTTTTCGAAGTCCGTCCTTGTTTCAGACATTCACGAAGGAGCACTTCCAGGGAATTGGAATTTGCGTTGTGAATTTGGCCGACGACATGCAGGAGTACATGAGGGGCCTCTTTATAGGAACGTGAGTACATCTTCCAAAGAGTCACCAATTCAGTCTTCTCCTTTCGTCGCAATCGGACGACTTTGGAGCCACTTCCGTCTGATTCCAGTTACGTGGCGCCACTCACGATAACGGCATACTTTTACGTCAAGGCGAGCAGGGAGCTGCAGGCCCAGGAGGGGCCGCTGGTGGTGGCCATGTTCGAGGCACGTGGCAGAGATTCGAGACACGGCAGTCGCCTGAGCAACGACATCTCGTAAGATCCCCTAATGACCTCTTACGTCGGTCCATCTAGGTTGTCTCTCCACTCCTCTTTCGATCCATCTTGCGGGCGCCCCCGAGGCTGGACGGGCGCCGTCCGCCCAAAGTCTATTTCCGGGCTGGAGAGATACCTCCCCCGATGAATTTCCTTTCGTCGAGTGAAGGTGGACCCGATTAGTTTTCGAGGATCCGCTAAAAGGCGTGCATCTCGCGAGCCAAGCCGAAGAGAGGGCAAGAGTAGCGGTTTCTTTCATTCTCGAGGCAGAGTTTTCATTCGAACGCATACATTTTCGGAAGACGATAACCGACGGATAGTCCGATTAAGTCGAACGGACGCTAATCCGGCGGGCCAACGAGCGAACGAGCTACTCGTCCCGAGAGTTCCGTTTCTATCCAGGACGACGAGGAATGTCCCGAGAAAAGGCGGTTGATCGATAGGAAGCGCTCCTTCGAATAAGACGAGTTTCTTTGCTCGATGGAGCAAAGAAGTCAACCGTGGGATGTTTTCTTCCACCCAGGGCGATCCGGAGATTCCAGAGGTCGGGAAAGTTAGACAAGTTCGCCTCGTGCCATTTTCCGAGAGAAAGAGGGATCGGCCTTGGCGGAATTTCCACGATAGCCCGGCAGGAACGATGGAAAGGATGGAAAAGACTTTGCCTCCTTATTTCCATGAGGGGTCGATCGCTTCCCCCACCCCCAAGGAATCTAATCAGCCGAGTAGACAGGGCTGCAGGTTTTCTCTTCCGAGGGTTCTATTTGTGGTGCCGGACGGAGCCCCGACATCGTACGTTATCGGTCAGGTTTTTTCCAGGCCCTGGAAACTCTGTCTACTCTGTATCCGATCCCCGTGACCGATCGGAGCGATCGGACCTCCGTTGAACGGAATTTCGACGTGCGTTAATTTTCAAAGGAAGAACGTCTCTCCGCCACCGCCGGCGGCTGTGAGTCGTAGCTCGTTATCCGTCTCCTCGCCTCTTTCGTTCTCTCCTTCCCTCTTCCCGCGCGTCGTCGCTAGATACTCCCGGCCTTTCCAGTTTGCCCAACGTTCGAGGACGAAGAGTCGAGAAGACCAGGGGCGACTCCCCAAAGCGTATACTGGTTGAACGTTGCAGGGATAATCGGGAGGGCAAAAGAGAAAGCGGCACGGAAGGACTGGGCAGACTGTCGACGGCCTACGACCTGTACGACGCGGAGCTCGACGTCCGCAAGGAAAGACGCACGCAAAAGTACCTCATCTTCATGGTGTCGGTCTTCGCCATATGTCTCTGTCCTTTGACAGTTCTCAGGTGAGAGTGCGCCCACGCGTCGCCTTAATTTCTCGCCCTCGCGAGTTTTGCCTTTCCCGGTACTCCTCGAGTTACTCGAACTTCCTGTCCGGATTTTCCGTCATCTTCGGAATGATTCGCACGTTATACGAAAAAGAAACGATTCCCTCTCGCGGGATATCGGGTTCTTACGATCCACTCGTAAAGTCCATATTACGAGCCGATGGACGTCAAGTCGGAGTTCGCGGAATGGCGCTCTCGATACGTCGTAAAGTTAAAATATACGGCGTTACTTGTCCGAAAGAGATTCGCCTCGGCATCAACGAGGATTATCGCCGGACTTTCCGCCGGCCTTCTAAGGAAAACGAGGAACCAATCCGTCCGTTCCCTCGAGTACCTATACTGTACGCGCGTAATTTTAGAAAACTCGCGAATCGCGTCATTTCCTCGTTTGCCGAATAAACGGGACGCGCCCCGTCCGGACGGAGGGCGGGGGTGCGCAAGATCGAGGAAGCAAGAAGCGTCGCCGGAAGTGCCGGAAGCGCCGGGAGCGCCGGGAGCGTCGTGTGGACGAATGGTTTATTGACCGGTGGTTCAATCGAGCAAGGTCCCCCTGTTTCCCGGCGGATTATTTGATCTCTTCCAAGGGTCGAGCCGCTCCTCCTTTCGCGCCGGCCGACGAATCGAGCGCGGATCCCTCGATGAGAGGCCTCGACCCCTCTTTGCTCTCGGGAAATCTCGACTTCGCGGCACGAATTACCGGGAGCCGTTTCGCGAGGAAACGGACCGGTCTCGCGAATTTCGCTCCTCTCCGCGCACCGGAACTCTAACCGGCCGTCGATTAGGGCCGTGAGATCGGATGTTGCCGGCCCATTTGGCGGAGACGCTCGCCGGATCCGCAACAATGCCGCACTCTCGGAAACGCACTTGGATTGCCCCAGGATTGCCTTCCCTGCAGGAATTTAGTGCGCTCTCGGGGAGAATGCCTTATTCGCAGACCTCCAAGAGAGTAACCGGGTTTCCGGGTAGAGGCGATTGCAACCGAATGCGAGGTGCGGGAAAGCGAGGGCGAACGAAAGAATGTTTCAATTAGGGAGCCCCTGTCCAGCCACTGGTCGATTCGATGTATAACGAGGGAGCGTTTCTTTTTCGGTGGGTAAAATTGTATCGCGTTCGCGTTGCGGAAGAGACCCCCTTCCCGTGGCAAGCGTAGTAGCGTCGGCAAGGCAATTGGTTATTAATGATCATCGCCCCGGTACATTTTTGTCTTTAAGCGATGGTTTGCAGGTATCCGTTGACGCGATATGGAAGAAATCTCCACCGGAATGGCCGTGGCGAACCGTTTCTTTCGCATTGCGGAGAACTTGCTACTCCGGGTGAAATCCGCTTCCCACGCGGCAAGAGCTCCGTCAAGGCTCGGAGGAAGTTTTAATAAAGCCTTATGAGGGGAAGTAGAGGTTAGGAAGAAGATTCTCCGAGTTAGGGGTTGGGCGTATAGGAGTTTCCGCGGTTTAGTACCTCTAATAGCGGTCGGGGAGATGTTTTAGGTGAGGATTATTTGTCGCAAAATAGCACTCCGTAAAAAATGTAACTGACGGGATTTCCGGTAATGGGGTTTCTTATTTACACAGAGCAGTAAATGTGACGGACACTCCCGACATTCGGCCGGAGAGGTGCTGGGTTGCAGTAAACGTAACACGCGTCGCCCGTGAAAGCGAGTCGTAAGCCCGGCCGTTCGACCGCAGGCGGCTGGAATAATACTTGGCATATAACTGCATTCGATCTAAAATGCAAAACTCCTTGACGATAACGAGCTCGCGATCCGGGTCAGGCCGCCGGGGACTTCCGACGCCGGGGATGACGTTTTCGGAAGCCGAGGAAATTTTTCTAGCCGAGTGGCCAGGGAATCGCTAGGCATCGCTGTGGTCGACGGCCGAGAAAATCTTGGCGCGTGAATCTCCCTTGTAATTTGACGACGTGGCTTAGCAAGCTTTGGGGCGAACTAACGAATCCTGCCTCTTCAGGCGTAGCGATGATCTGTTTTCGGCACTGCGCGGAACCAGAACGAAACTTGAGTCGAAGGAAACTAAAACATCGAGGTATCGTTCGTACGCACGCGTGTACATACATATCGAGTTCCGTTAATTCCGAGGGATGTCGAGCGACATTCGCCGCGGGACGATCTAGAGAAGGTCGCGACCGGTCGCGTTTCGGAGAGAATCGCGAACAATTGTCCGGTAATCTTCGCTCTGTTCCAGGTTGGCGAAACTGGTTTTGATCGAGACGTACGAGAACAGCGGACACTTCGACATCACATTTACGCTGTTCGTGTGGCTGGCCTTTCTGCCGACGATGACGACGCCGGGTCTCTATGCCTCCTGGCAGATGAGCAGGTACGTCCCGGGGAATAAAAGGCATTGTTCGAAACGAGGAAGTTGGAATCAGCGGGCACTCCCCAGCGCAGGGCCAACGATGCGCCGGGGAATAAATCCTGCTGACAAGAGGGTTCGGGAACGAACCCCCCTCGGCCGGCGGCCGCGAGGGGGAGAGAGGGGGAGAGAGTAGGACCCAACGTTCGGTGACGGCTCTTATCATCGCTACTTTGCGCGAGGCGCGAAGAAGAATAAGGCCAAAGAGTACCTTCCGAGAGGACCAGGGATGAAAAGGGGAAAATTAGGTCGAGAGGTACGCGACTCGCCACCTGGACCGGTCGAGTCGCCTCCAGCTCGACTACTCGTCGACACTTGACAGGATTTTCACTTCGGGCTCCTTAGGGCTGATTAGCGCGCGATCGTCCCACGACTCCTCGCGACCGCTCCGCGAGATAACGACAAGACGAACTTTTTCCCTACCCCGCATCCCGGGACGTACAGGACCCGAAGGTACCTCCAAAGTCCGATGAATAACCGAAGCCGGACCGCAACGTCATGATTAGTGGAACGTAATTAAAAAGCTAGCCGCTCCTTTGCCGGCCGACCCCGCGAGATCGCGGTGGCTTCGACTGGCCCGACGGGGGCCTTTGTCTTTTACCCCGTCGTTAGCGCCTCTTGGTTGGCTCGATGCGCAGTTCCCGGTCGACGTCGCTTCCGACGCGAAAACTCGACGCATTCGTAGAAGGACGCGGCTGGAATATACGGAACGAACGCTGTCGCGCGAACGACTCTCGAAGAAGACCTCGAAAGACGTGGTCTTCGTCGGAGTGCCTTGCCGATCCCGTTCGTTCGCCTCGACGCGTGGGGCCTGGGTACGATGATCCTAGGGTGCATCCGTATCCATTGTACTCTCCCATCGCATCGGGGCGCTCGCGTTCTCCTCTGAGAAAAGGAAAATCCTTTCCGCGTTATGCAATGTCCTTTCTCCCCGTAATCGGAATGTCGTCGCGTACCCGCCGATCCCGTTCGCGAATACCTCGTATTCCCGGGATAACTCGTCCTCGCGTTTCGCATTTATTAGGTCGATCGTGCTCTCGCCTTCTAGAAGGGTGCCCCGTTCACCGCAGGAATTTCAGACACGCGGACATTAAATTCCCAATTCCGCGGAGGCCCCGCACCCATCGGGTATCGAAGAAGCACCAGGACTCGACTCTACTCGCCAGACAAACGACTACGTTACTCGAGTGCAAGGAGGATGGAACGAAGGGCTTGATTTGAACATCGCGATTCCAAAATAAATGAGACGTTTCGAGTCGCTAATGGGATTATTGGATTAAAATTACCGAGGGAGCGTTCATTTCGAATGAGTTCCTCGGGGTTGGCAGTTTCCTTCTTGAAACGATAAAGCGAGAAGTCCTCTAATTTGCGTTCAACGTCTGTAATTAATTTCGCCAAGAGCGAGTTCCTTCGGGAAGCGCTGCAACTCATTGCGTTTAAATGAAGGGTGTCAAGGAAAAAACGGGAAACCGGGCATCTCGTCTCTTCTTTTCCCGTAGGTGAGAAAAAGTAAAGGGGAAAAGGGGCAACTCGCAAGTAACCCAATAAACGATTCATTGGCTCGACATTCATGACGAAGCCGACTTCTGCACGTGCATAAAAGGAAGCAGGAGAGGTTCGATATCCGGTGACGACGTTTCTTCGGCGGTCCGAAGGGGGAGTTAACGACCCGAATCATCGATCCCATGACTGGTCGCAATCTTTCTTCACCTTCTCGGTCTCATTCGCAAAAACGTCTCGCATTCTCGGCGAAGCTCCGTACGCGAGGGTCCCTCTACATTCTCCTTTCCTATGTCCCGTTGGTCGATGGTCCTGCAGGTGATGCCCTGGCTGTTGCAGGTCCGCGAAGGAGAGGCTACGGGGCTACTTCCGGTTCTCCAACCGGCGGGTGCCGCGGCCGGCGTCGAGACATCCGGGACCCAGCCCCGGAAGCGTCCCCGTCGGTCCAGAGGACGAGGCCGACGGAAGGGCCGAGAGCGCCTCTCGGCTCGCGGGGGGCCAGTCGACATAGAACGGCTGGGGCCGGGTCGAGGACTGCCGGCGTAGCAGATATTTACACGTTCTTGCTATTTATTTCAGAAGAAATGGATGGACTGATAAGTGCTTTACTAAGTAATTAGAAATCGATGGGCCCTGATTTAACGGCTTCACCCTTCACGAGGCACGCTCGTTGTTCGTGCAATAGCTCTGGGATTCTTCGGAATTTTTCGCGACATCGAAATCGATCGCGACCGTCCGGGAACACGTTCAGTTTCGCTCTCTCCCTCTCTCCGTAACGCGTAACTATTAAGATATCCAACGATACGACACGAGAACCGATGGAAATCAGCCGCCGTTTAACTATTAATTTCCGCGTCGCGGCGTCGCGGCGTCGTGGCGGTAAATCTCGACTTGGCGAACTCGGCGTAAATCACTAGTTGGGAGGACGAGCACGTGAACCGCATTTGTTCGTCCGGGCCGAAGAGCGTTAACGACAGTTGCCGTTAACGAGACCGCAGTCTGTCTCTTTCTATCCCTCTGGAGGGACGTCGAGGGACTCCGAAGGGGCCAGACGTCGACGACGATTCGAGGAAAAAGAATGAGAGAATTGAACGAAGAAAAAATTCGCGAAAGCAAAACGGTATGTAGATGTTTTTTTTTTCTATTTTCTATTTCTCAAAAGCAAATTAGCGTATTAAAATGAAACGATACCGTTATCGTAGTAACCGACTCCGACCCGAACAAGTAATTAAGGAATGTGCACTTGTAAAATAATAGAACGTTATATTCTTTAATTTGAATGTGCTTAGGTGTTAAGGAGGTCATGTTTTACGATCGTCATTATTACACGTTAGCTATTCAGCCCCCCAGGGCCGAGCTGGTAAAAGAAGAGTAAGTACCTCTCTACTAGGCTGGTCATCTAACACGGCTGCAGTCGATCCACGAGGTGGCCGTCGAAATCGATCGTCGAGGTTGACGGTCAAAACCCGATCAAGTAATACAATTTGTGATGCGTAGGATCACCCTAATTGAATCGAACGTCAAATTACCGTTAGACTCGTTATCGTATTGCATAGCTGTAACAAAGTAAGGACGAATATTAATTCGAAGGAAATTGAGACGTTGATTCGTTCGGTTGGTGCATGTATTTGTAAATCAAGTATTTTTAATCAAGGTAATCAAGTAGCGGTAGCATTGGCTATGAATGAATTGCAGCCTTGTATGGCAGATATCGTAATACGATGGAATGTTACATATTCAATGTATCATTCCACATCATTTTACTTTTTTTTTTTTTTCTTTCTCCCAGTGATCACGACTACGATTGGCGCGGACGGTAATTCCAGTTATTAATAAAAATATTAATCCCAATATCCTGGCTAGGGTCGATTGCGTCGGAGATATATCGTGCACCGCGCTTTCCTCGATAATAAACCTTGATACCTTCCAGGCGACTCGTCGAGGGAGCCGCTGCGAATTTTTTCAAGGGAGATACAGGGACTTGACGGCTCATATTGAAGGTAGAACCGGAATGAACGCGAGTACGGAAAAAAATTCAGCGGGGACGCGGCAGTCAAAAGATCCATTGAAACTGGCTGACATGGCAGGGTTAATGAAATCCAATAGTTTTCACTTTACTAATTATTTATCACGTGCGGTTTAACGACGTCTCGTAATCAATGGAGAACTTTATTAACCGGAAGTTTCACGAACCGCTAATTATACCCGAATGTATTTCGGACTTTCAGTCAACCGTTAACAACGTGTCAGACGTGACGTTCCGGTATGGAAGTGCACGCGAAGCGTACCAGGTCACTAGGTCCTTTTGTAGCACGTTTACCGGAAGAAGGATCACGTTGGAAACCCGGTCGCAGAATTTTCCTCGATCGTTTCGTAAAATGTTCTCCCCCGTTCGAACTGGAACGCTGAATAGTTGAGCCAAAAAGTACTTATATAGGAGAATCTCGGATACGTGAGACCGTTCGATTAATTTCCTTTCCCTGTCACTTGACGGGATTCGTGAGAAACGCTAATGAAAGAAAAGGTCGATCCATGGATCCGATTCGAGATTCCCTTTCGGAGCAAAGCGAGAGATGAACGGAGAGTCCCTAGAAAAGTAAGAAATGGGCACGAGGTCCGGGAAACAAGAAAAGCAGGGAAATTGCCGACTCGAAAGTGATCCGCTTCGGTGACGGAACGTTAAGCGTCGCGAGTCGTCGAGTCGATTTTGCTCGGTGCAGGAGTCGAAAAGGAGCATCGAGAGATTCAAAAGCGAACCATATCGATCGACCAGTCGAAAGGCTGGTCGCGTCGGGAGGAAGAAGCCAAAGAATAGAATTCTTTAAAGGGGACGAATTGCGCGAGCTCCGGACACCACCGGGTAAACGCGCTTGCCGAGTCCGTGGCCTTGCTTCGTCTTGCAAGAGAAATGTCTCCGAGCCCGACGCCCTCGGAGCTTGCAAATTTTCTTCGAGCCATTACTAACGTCGCGAAGCAGAGCGATTGCAAACAACGCCTTTGGAACCCGACCGGATGGCAAACGATCACGTCGGTTCGCGCGTAATTACGCGGAAGAGAGTTCGATCGACCTCCCGAAACGCTCCTTCGAACGCAAGATCTCGATGGATATCGTAACCCTTGTACGGCCCTCGTCGACAGACGGTATTCGAAAAAGTGACGATCTGTGTCCTATACCGATACCTCTAGAGGTGTCTTGGCGCGACACGCGGCACGAGATCGGTTCTATCGTGCATACCGTGAGAGGTGAGGTTCCTTCGAATCGTTATTTCAAACGGAGGGATCTCGCTCTCCGACCGTACTCGGTCACCCTCGAAGTATCCGGCATTTCGAGGCTTGGATCGAGAAGGAAAATGTCGCGCGAGTCCTTTGGGATTGGGGTTGTTTACTCCGAGGTTTATCTCGGTCCGCAAATGTAAACAGCCTTCAACGGTGGGGTCTTCGTGGGAACCGTCGCATGCCGCGCCTTGATGTGTAAGGGGTTGAAAAGAGGGTTGGAGGGGGTCGCGAGAGGTGAACACGAAGGGCGCTCCGAATAGGAAGAATTTCGTCGGGAGGAATCGCCCGAAAATAAGGAGGCGAATACTTTTAGAACCGCTCTAGCTTCCCGTGGAAGGAGAGGTTTAAACATGCGGTCGAAAGCCGCTACGAAGCAAGGGAACGTTTGACTCTCTCTCGTTCCCTCGGTTTCGAAGTACATATTGGAACGACGGTCCTCTCGGTAAGTAGAACACCGGATCGTCGCGTGCGCGATCTCCTTATCCGCGCAGAAGGGATTTTTTAAAAATGCTCCCGAATCTACTCGCGATCCCTCCGACCTTAATCGACGGTAGAGAGTTTGTCGCTTTCTACGCGGCGACGTCGCATCGATATTCCCGACCGACTCGATTCCTCGTTAGGAGAAGCACCGACAGCTTTCCAGCGCACGTTCGAGTTAAAAATCGTATTACACATCCAACGTACCGATACAACGTCCGTAGGTAACGCTTGCGAGGCCGCTCACGTCCGGGGCGAACGCTTCCGCGGTATATATAATTGCCCGCAGGGGACCGTCAGCGGAATTGCTCGGTGAATTTCGGCAGCGAGCGGACACCCCCTTTCGTCAGTCATGCTGGTGAGTGAGCGGCTCCGCCGCTGCCGGTTTCGGCCGTGCGTTGATCTAGCGTCTGACTCGGGCGCTCGCTCGGTTGCAGATCATCGGCTTCGTTTGCGCCGCGACCTGCCTCTCGGCCTGGGCCGAGCAGCCGGCCGACCAAGTAGCCGGACCCGGCCCCGGACCCGGGCCCGGACCCGGGCCCGGAATAAGGACATCGAACGTGCTGGGCGGGCCGGAGCAACACGCGTCCTTCAGTTTCGTTCGGCCCGGACTGACGCAAACCTCGTACGCGTTCAACGGACCGAGTTCCCATCAGGCGTTCAGCTCTACCGTCGGCAATCCGAGCTTGGCTCAAAGAGTCCAGCCGAACCTGGCGTATGCTCTCGCCTACAGGAACCCGGGTCTGGGTGAGTTTCCACGTTTCGTCCGGCGAACTTGCCGAGTCGACGCGACGGTCTGCTCGTCTCTTCTCCGTCCTTAGGCCCCCTCTGGGACCGATTCGGACCGATCGCGTCCCCATACGTAGCCGCGCCCTCCCGGCTTGCCCAGGACCAGCTCCTTTCGACGCCCTACCCGACCCAATACCTGCAAGCCCAGAGGGCTCAGGCTGTTCCGGTGCAAGCTCTTCCAGAATTCGCGACGTATCGGGAGCAATTGGCGCAACTTCTCGCTCTCGGACAGGCGCACCTGCAACAACTGCAGCTGCAACCCTACCAGGTGATTTGACGCCGAGCGATTTGCGTGCGAGCGCAACGGGGCGATTTACAAGCTGCTCGAGAAAGACCGCTTGATTGCGTGAAACTGTACTTCGCGATTTTCACCGAATCGAATTCGCGAAGAAGAAAGGTTTATTGCGGCATGCAGCGATCATTTCTACCGGGGTAATATTACCGAATAATTTGCTCTTTCAGGTATTGGAACGAATTCAGTCTCAGCAGCAACACGTGCAGCAAGAAACGCAGAATCTGTTGGGCGTCGCTTATTCGGCGGCACCCTCCGTAGCTCGTGTCAAAGTCAATGGAAATGGATTCAAATTTGACTTTTAGCTCGGTAATCTTTTCCCACTATTTTTCTCACCTTTGCACGTGTGCGTGTTAACGAGGCAAGATTTGTATGCGTACGACATTGCTATGTTCGATTGGAATCAATTCATATTTCTCCGAAACTGTCAAGGATACCCTAGTCGCCTTTTCCGAGAGGAAAGTCGCGCGTGGTGAGAGATTCTCTGAATAAAAAATATGAATTTCTACCCGACGGGTTTTACGCTTCTTTTTTGTCCTCGTAGTCCACTAAGTAGTTCATTTCCGGAAGATTCTGTGTAGATCAAAACAATCATAAATGTTTTTGTAAATCAATTTTTTTGGAGCAACGAACGTCCCTGCAACATCGTCGGGAAAAATCGTAGCGATTCGCTCGACGGCTCATTTTGAAGAGAAGGACTATATCTTTAAGGCTGGCGGGGCCGCAAGCGCGGAAAAAGTTCAGGAGCGATTGGGTATTCCGAAAACTCGCTGAAAATGTGATAATCCCCCATGGTTCCCTACATCTCCCTCCAAAAAGATCGCAGCGACTCGTCGGACGGCTTATTTTGGAAGTTACCTGGCGCTTTAGTCCTTAATAATATATAATTTAGAGATGCAACTACAATTCGACGCACCAATTATTTACTATAAGTCGCATGCTTGAAAAGAGGCATTAAGTAATTCGTTTAGATAAGAGCTGGTACTTCGTCCATCATCTCGGTGATGAAGCAACGTGTCGGATACGTCTAACATCCGCAGCAATAACGGCGCTCGTGTCGCAACAAGTTCCATCATCGTTAAAATCGTTTCGAGCGTGAGCTTACGTTACTTGTGACTGTATGTATTCAATGTTGCTATTGGCGGTGATTGGCGCTACGCTCTGGCAGACACGAGGAGCGATGAGGAACGAATGAATTTCATCATTCGTTTCGTTTTGTTAAGTCTTGCGCTCGCGAATCTAAGGAAACCATGGCATCGATTGCCTTACCCTCGATGTTGAAAATTAGTCGAATCACGGTTGAAAATGTATATCAGAATGTGTACCAAATTCGTAAGAATGTGGCTTTAAGGTAAGCGCTTCACCTTGCCCGTACATTGAATGAGCGGTTAAAATCTGCGTTTTAACCTGTCTGTGCAAGTTAAATGTTAGGTAACTGCCGAATTTTAGATGAATCTCATTATGTGGCTAACATTTATCGAGCAAGTACAGTTCGAGTAGAATTGGCCGAAGACACTTTGCTGCTCGGTCCGTTTGATTGTATGGACGAAATATGTGCGATTATGAATTAGTCGTAAAGGCTCGTGTTCGTAGTCTCGTGCCGGTTAGGACGCAGTTTTACCGGAAAATTTTAACGTATTGAAAAATATAATAAAACGTCTGTACGATTTGCTTTCCTTATGAAATTAACTGATAACATTAATCGAGTGTTTTGGAGTGTAGACATTCCTACTTGAATCCTGCCATTTATTGGCAACAACGAGGATACGGTCAAGCAACGGAGCAGACGAGAGTAGAGAGCGGAGAGGCCCAGACTATTGTCCCAGATCTTAAAGAAAATGAAAAGAAACTTAAGGCAGAGCTTGAACTGCTTAACAAGGACCTTGCTCAACTAAAAGAGCAAAATGCGGAAATTGATGATAAGTATAAAAGGGCATTGGCGGATAGTGAAAATCTTAGGGTCAGATTGAGTAAACAGATAGAAGATGCAAAGATTTTTGGGATACAAAATTTTTGTAAAGATCTGGTGGAAGTCGCAGATATCCTAGGAAAAGCTACAGAAAGTGTTCCTAAAAATGAAGTTACCGACAAAAATCCACATTTAAAAAGTCTTTACGAGGGATTAATAATGACAGAGGCACAATTGCATAAGGTACATTTTATGATGTCACTAGGCTAGAACTATTTTTATGATATAATAAATTATAGAATGCAAAAGGCAAAAAATTAGTCTATAATTTACACTTGAAACTGTGCATATTTACTTAAATAAACATAGCTTTGGTCCTGTTGTGCATTTTTTTAGGTATTCAAGAAACATGGTTTAATATCATTAAATCCAATTAATGAAAAATTTGATCCAAATCAACACGAGGCTTTATTTCAACAGGTTAGAGCATCCTTAACATTTTTCTGGTGTTTTCTCGAATTCCTCATTTCAGTCAGTATAATGCTGATTTTTAATTAACAGGAGGTGGAAGGTAAAGCTCCAGGAACAATAGTAGTGGTTTCCAAAGTGGGTTATAAGCTACACGAACGAATAGTTCGACCAGCTTTAGTGGGAGTGGCAAAAGGGTAGCTGAATTATACCTATCCCCATCAGATCTATGAATATATTCCTTACATTATGTCATGTCATATTTACACCGTTATTATATGTTGTGGAATAAAATATTTGTATTACACTAGTGACATTTCCTGGAATTCATATGGGATGAAAACAAGCTTAATGTAATTAAGTACTCTCTAATGTAAAAAATATAAATTGTGTACATTGTGTTCAGATTCTTAGTTATTAATACCATTGAAATACTTTTAAAAAATTATTATCTTTTTAACATCTTTCAAAAACTTTATATAAATTAGGTAGACTAGCTATTTGCAGTATCGTCGAGTCATGAGCAAAATGATTCGGTGGCAACAAACTTCCTTTAATAGCCGCATATAAGACATGTTCTGTAACATATTTCCAATCATAAATTTTGCTGTTTCTATCGATACGGCTATAAAATCTGGCAGTTTCCCTGCAAATATCATTGAAACAAGGTTGTTCCTTTTTCCAGTTTACTTCTGTAGCTAATCTCAAAATATATAGTGGAATTTCTGCTTCGCTTGGAAAATATTTATCTAAAATCAATAAAGACGGATTTCTGTTTTAATCGATGGCATAATTAAAAAATAAAAATGTTTCATCCCTCTAAGTACACACGTTGAATGCAGTAAATAGAATCGATGTTCTATTCTGTTACTAACCTAACAGTATTGGTAAAGATCTTAAGTTTCCTCCCTTGTCAATGACAACAGAAAAATACTCCTTCATCATATCCGTCTTCTCCAGTAATAATTCTTTCACACTTTCTGCCAAGTCTTCCTTTTTTCCATCTTCTTCTGTCCATCCTGCTTCTTCCAAGTCTAAACCCAACATTGCAATATCGTACAAAGGTAGTGGTTCCTAATAAATTAATGACATCTTTGCGAGTTAATGCACGTACTTACAAAATTTCTCCTTTTGCTCACTTACCGTAAATTTTATTACTCCATAGTTTGCAAAGTCATACAGCATTATCTCGTAAAAGAGCTCCTCACTAGACGGGTTTTAATTTTTAATTTTTCATATAAATATATGTCTCCTGATGCTTAGTAGGATATTACTTTTTTAACGTACTTACGCTAATTTTTGAGTATTGCAAATATACAGATTAACGCCACTTTGAATTAGAGCTGAAGTTTCATCAACGCAACCAACAAAGGTCATATTTGATAAAATTTCTCTAAGGCCTTGGTGATAAGTATCTTCTACCATCTTGCGTAAATTCAAGACACTAATCAGTTTTACTTCATGTCTGAAATGATTCACTGAATATGATTTAAATCCTGAGTTCTGTGCCTCGTTTTCTTTTTTGTTTAGAGTATCTGATTGTTCTGGTGAAGTCGTTGGTTCTTGCACCATGTTTCCCTTACAAAGTTGTTCTTGAATAACATTTGAAATCTCAACATCGTTTACTCTTTCATTCTGAATTTTATTTGATGTTATTAAAATATTATCCACTGTAATCCTTTCATTAGTATACATTTTCTGATTTTTTTCACTGATTTTCTTTTTATGATCTATAACATTTCCATTGTTAAAGTATTGATAAACTCTTTTCAATGCTTTATTTGCAACATTATTTGTGCTGTCGTTACCTGTGTCAAGTTCCATCTTATTCTGCTTATCTTGCATGTACACATCCATAGATTCACACAAATCAATATTATTTGGGACTGAAGGGATAACTTGTGCCGTATCGGATTGTATCGATGTACATGGGTAATTTACAGAAGTATCATTAATAGATTTTAGAACTTGGATAGATTGCATTGGTTCATCTAAAATTCCACTAAAACTATCCTCAACGTCATCAGTTGATTCAATCTCCTTTTCAGCATTATTTTCAGTTTTAGATACAGTCTTCTTATCATTTTTATTTCCAGCATTTCTCTCAAGTTGAAATTCGTTCCCCTTTTCAAATTGTTTATTAGAATTTATTGCATGTTCTACAGTGGAAAAAACGACATTAATCAACCCTGATCTATTGTCATTAATATTAATTTCTGAGTTACTGGAATTAATTCTGCTATGTTTCATCGCAGAATGTACCGTAAAATTAAATTTATCAAGTTTCTGATCATTAGAATTGGTTCTAATCATTTCCCGGGCATGAGTTTTCTTTGATTTTCCTGAATTCTCTTTTTGGTATTCTGGTAAAATCTCTTCTAAGACCTCCTTTGGTATATTCACATCTGGTAATCTTGCTTGCATATAAAAGGTTCTTGCAGCACTGTTATTAGCTAGTTTCTCATCTAAAGCAAGTTTTATTTGTTCAATTATTGCATCTTCATGAAGGAATTTAACCTCATGCTTTGTTGGGTGTACATTGACATCGATATTATTTGGATTAATTTCTAGAGACAAATAACACCACGGATGTGTCCTCTTTGGGATATATATCGAGTATAAATCTTCCAGCATTTTTCGGATAGCTATAAAATGTTTCCAATGTCGTGAATAATGTACAGAATTTTAAAGGATACTTGTAGACCGTGTGAATTATAATGCTTACATGTCGACTCAACAAGCCTGTGATTGATAAATAAGAGAAATATTAACCTCTTGCTCGAATAATTGGGGTTCGTCACAAGAGCTTGCATTTTAAATTTATATTTTTCATGTGCATGTTCTATCTCAAGGAGCTCTCGAGCAATAGAATTTCCATAGAGATTTCGAATATTATTTACTTTTGTCGAGTTGTACATTGTTCGTATCTATCGTGTCCAAAGATTAATTAATGAGATTAATCATTTTCTAGGGAATTGCCATAATGCCGTTCCTTACCTGTGGAGTTAAATCTCCTTGTTTTTTTAACATAAATGCTACTGCAGGATTATGGATTGCATATTTGGTAACAACTTCTACGATTTTATTCAATTCTTCGGATATATTTGACAGTGCCTTTCGCCGTGTAGAAACATTGTAAAATAAATTTTCAATTGTTATCGTTGTACCTTGATTTCCAGCACAAGGTTTCAGCTGCCCATTTAATTTACTGTCAATGTACGATCCTCTAGGGTAGAAAAATAATATAATTATAATTTAATAGGAAGAGTGTTAAGGAGCAGTGCCTGCATTTATTTGAATGCACTCACTTATATGCACATTTTTCATCAGCAGTTTTTGTCATAATTGTCAACAATGCAACATGGCTTATGCTTGCCAAAGCTTCTCCTCGAAATCCGAACGTAGATATCGATCTCAGATCTTCAAACTTTTGTAATTTGCTGGTTGTAAACCTTTCACAAACGATCTCCATGTCCTCCTTTCTAATTCCGGTTCCATTGTCTTGAATCTTTTAGAAAATCCCTTTGTGTATGAATTTTATTGCCAATAATTAGGAGAATAGGTTTGCATACATCGTTTAAATACTTACTTGCAGCAATTTTAGTCCACCCTCTTTGACAAGGATTTGAATGTTATTAGCTCGTGCATCGAGGCTACGTAGAATAGTAAAAAAGTATATAATAAAGAGAAAATTTAGGAGGAAAATAATTTCGCGCACGTATACGGCATACTGAAGTTGAAAGTTGATAATTAAATATTAACCTATTTTCGATCAATTCTTTCAATGCGTTGGCTGGCCGTTGGATAACCTCACCAGCTGCAATCCTGTTTACTACCGTCTGATCCAATTTTTGAATTTTAGGAGAAATTTCCATTTTTCTGTAGTCGATTGTCGATTGTACTACGCTCCTAACCTCTCGTTACTCTTACCGCATGAAATCTCCAAGTTCTCAACAACTATTCTTGTTTGGAACGTTTACCGTGGCATCACTGATTGTTTTTTTGTACTTAATATTTGAACAAACTTTATTTAAACGACAAATAAAGGATGTGTCAAGTTACCATTTACTGCGTAGTGTATCATCTCATAGGATTTAACCGAACGTCGTTGCTGCCATTGAGCTTAGATCCAATTTCACACTCGTCCATGTCAATCTCATACGAAGTACCTCACATTTCTATCCAGAGATGAGTTGGTTTCTATCATAGTGAAAGTTACAGATTCGCGGGAGGTATTCATTTTTAACATTTTCACTATATTCGGATTAGGGAGACGTTTCATTAACGCTACAGCGACCGAGCGACGAAGAGCGAATAAGAGGTTTCGATTGGCTGTAGGGAACCAGCGGAATGGGAGAATTTCCGTCGTATGTTCTGTAGCTAATCAGAACCTCTTTTTCGCGCTTCGTCGCTCCGTCGCTTGTCACTGTAGCGCTAATGAAATATCGGCCTTATACAATTTACCCCAAGGTGCTATCTCCCTCTACCTTCTGTTTTTAAATTAAGGTAAGTCCGGAAGGCTTCAGTTTACCGTACTCTGTTGGTGTTCTGAGAAAGTTCGGAATCATCGACGGGGAGGCCATGAGCTTTGGCCTGTTGGCGTGCCATTTTGTGACGCCTCGTGTAAACTTTCATAAACAATTTTTCTTTAAATTGATCCTGGCGAGCACGCGTGATGTCGAAACGAAGGATCGACGTTGTGGACCCTTACGTCAAGCGGAAAGCGTGAGTATTTTTTCAGGAACCGCGATGTTCCTCTGACAATTCTAAGGCACGTTCTACCATGTGCATTGTTCAAATTTTTATGTTGTTACCGAAAAGAGCCTGGGGAGAATCGTCGGTTTACTTGCATGAATTTTCAAGCATACCAATGTCGTCATTAATACTTTGTAGAGGGGTCACTATTTATTGGCGGGAAATGGATTGCTCCGGACGAAGTAGAATGCTTGCTACCTTTTTCAGTGTTAGATTCTGCGTGTTCTGCAATACCGCCCTTAGCGAGCGGTTTTCAAGTTTTACTTATTATTGAGTGGACTGGATGCTTGCACCACAAAAATGTCTAGGCTATATATCAGTTAAATCAATCGATTTACATTATCGTTATACATCCATGAAAAGAGATGTAACCTCTGACATTGATCGTTGTGTATTAAACCACTAATTTCGGTATTGCCATTTGCTACCAACAAAGTAGCGATTTATACTCTATTATCTTTTGCAGAGATAGCACGACAAATAATACAACAATAGCATCTGTCGTACCAAAGGCACAGGTCCAACTTAATCCATATACTGGATTACCATTTACACCACGTTATCATGAATTCTATAAGAAGAGAATTACGTTGCCAGTATTTGAATACCGTGCTGATTTTATGAGACTCTTGGCCCAACATCAGTGCATTGTATTAGTTGGAGAAACTGGTTCTGGGAAAACTACGCAGATACCGCAATGGTGCGTCGAGTATTCAAAGTGTATAGGTTCCAAAGGAGTTGCATGCACATGTCCGAGGCGTGTGGCGGCAATGTCTGTTGCTCAAAGAGTTTCGGAAGAAATGGACGTTGCACTCGGCAAGTTATTCTAATATTTGAAATTCTACTAATTAAGGTATCCGATATAGTAAATACTAATGGATCTCCGTTTTCACAAAGCAGGACAACAAGTAGGTTACAGTATCCGTTTTGAAGATTGTAGCTCCGCGAATACTGTTTTAAAATACATGACAGATGGTATGCTTTTACGAGAGGGAATGTCTGACCCGATGCTTAATGCTTATCAAGTGATTTTGTTGGATGAAGCACACGAAAGGACTTTGGCTACAGATTTGTTAATGGGTGTGCTGAAGGAAGTTATAAAACAGAGGATGGACCTGAAACTTGTAATTATGAGTGCAACATTGGATGCTGGAAAGTTTCAACAGTATTTTGATAATGCACCTTTAATGAATGTACCTGGTCGAACACATCCTGTAGAAATTTTTTACACGCCTGAGCCAGAAAGGGACTATCTAGAAGCTGCCATTAGAACCGTTATTCAGATACACATGTGTGAAGATGTATCTGGAGATTTACTTCTCTTCCTGACAGGTCAAGAAGAAATCGAAGAAGCTTGTAAAAGAATCAAGAGAGAAATGGATAATCTGGGGCCAGAAGTAGGTGAATTAAAGTGTATTCCATTATATTCAACGCTGCCACCAAACTTACAACAACGAATTTTTGACCCTGCTCCGCCTACAAAGTCAAATGGAGCAATTGGTCGAAAAGTTGTTGTGTCAACTAACATTGCCGAGACATCACTAACCATCGATGGAGTAGTTTTTGTCATCGATCCAGGATTTGCTAAGCAAAAGGTAACTCTTCAGATATGGCTCATACGTTAGCGTCTGCATTACAGTTATCTTATCTCTCTATGAAATTCTCACACAGGTATATAATCCTAGAATCCGGGTGGAGTCTCTCCTTGTATCTCCTATTAGTAAAGCTTCCGCTCAGCAAAGAGCAGGGAGGGCGGGGCGAACTCGTCCTGGGAAATGTTTCAGATTATATACAGAGAAAGCTTACAAAAATGAAATGCAGGAGAATACGTATCCAGAAATTCTTCGGTCTAACCTTGGAAGTGTGGTTCTACAATTGAAAAAACTTGGAATCGACGATTTAGTAAGAATGAAACTTGTATTTATGTATTTATGACGTATATAAAAAAACTCGGGTTTAGAGCCAGATACATTCTTGAGCGATAAACTCAGCACCGAGTGTTGAGAGAAACGTGCTCTGCGCGCTTAAGCTCGAGCGAGATACTATAAGTCTCCTGATGCTTGTTATTAAAATGCATGAAATTTACTGTGTACAGCACTTTGTATAAGACTACTTGAGATACGGCTAAATATAATGGGCACCATATATTTTCAGTCCTATAAAGAAAATGTCCCATTGTAATATTAGCTAATTTTAATTTCAGGTACACTTTGATTTTATGGATCCGCCGGCACCTGAAACGCTTATGAGAGCCTTGGAATTGCTGAATTATTTGGCAGCTCTGGATGACGATGGAAATTTAACGGATTTAGGTGCTGTCATGGCAGAATTTCCATTAGATCCTCAACTGGCGAAAATGCTTATTGCTTCTTGCAACCATAATTGCAGCAATGAAATTCTTAGCATCACCGCTATGCTGTCAGGTAAAGTACTAAAGTTTCTCATCCGAGATTGCATTATATCGTAAGACTTTGGGTTCTACATTAGAGAGGCATTAGCCGTTTATAAAACTACCTTTATTTTCGTAAAAGTGAAACTACATAAAGTGATAATTTATCTTACGTTACCGTTGCTGTAGAAGTTAACAATGTCCGAGTTAGGTACTAGCAACAGGTTCGGGGTAAGGTAATTTTGTGTGGTTTATATTGACAATTGATATGGTATTAGTCCCACAGTGTTTCGTAAGACCCAATGAGTCAAAAAAGGATGCTGACACGGCTAAGATGAAGTTTGCTCACATCGATGGTGATCACTTGACCCTATTAAACGTTTATCACTCATTCAAACAAAGTAAGTTTCTTGAACGTTTACCGTTATTATCATTTAGCAACTAATATTATTAATTTGAACAGAATTCGAGGATCCACAGTGGTGCTATGAAAACTATGTAAATTATCGATCACTGAAAAGTGGAGACAACGTGAGACAACAACTCAGTAGAATAATGGACCGATTCTACTTAAAGAGGACTTCTACAGAATTTACATCAAAAGATTATTACATCAACATCCGAAAGGCACTTGTAAACGGGTTTTTCATGCAGGTGCGTTTAAAATAAAATTACATTTGATTGTAAGTGCAATTATTAAATGAATAGTTTAGTGAAAAAAATTGATATACATGCATAGGGAACATAAGTAGCGGGTATATATTTCTGTTTAATGAAACCATGGGTCTAACGCTTCCTTTCGGTTACAGGTAGCACATTTGGAAAGAACTGGACATTATTTGACCATAAAAGATAATCAAGTTGTGCAACTCCATCCGAGCAGTTGTCTAGACCATAAACCCGAGTGGGTAATTTATAACGAATTTGTGCTCACGACCAAAAATTATATTAGAACTGTGACTGATATTAAGCGTACGTAAAATTTGAATCCTTTTTTTTTTGTTGAAAAAATAGCAATTGTAATTATACGACACCCGTAACAGATATCTAATTGATAACTCTCACTTGTTGGTTGCAGCTGATTGGCTGCTGAAAATAGCACCGCAGTACTACGATTTGGAGAATTTTCCAGATTGCGAAGCTAAGGTACAATTAGAAGTGATTCAAGCTCGATTAGATTCGAAACAATACCAAGAAGGATTCTAACCTCGATATGTTCTAGATACATTTAGGAACGGTATGAGCAAATGTGGAAATAGCGATTTGCGTGCCGCTAGGTTTCATTGTAAAAGTTCACGGCTTGTAATTACTCACAGAACGGGAATTTTCTACGTTTAAAGAGAAATGATTCGGCATGCACTTTAGTAAGGGAAATTCTATTCGATTTTGTGATTCCGATCATCGAGGGTAATGTAACGTTGAAAGGATCGAAAATTAGGTATCTCCGTAACTAGGATCTTAATCCTTTTAACGCTCAGTTCCAAAGTGCAAACGTCGAGGAACATACGCAATTTGTCCCATCTCGGGAGAATTAAAGTCAAAATCGTCGACATATTGAAGACTAGAGACACGCTTATTACCCTGAATTTTCGATGGAAGATATTTATGTACAATATCCGAGTGCGAAGGTAGCGATATAAATTTAAGATTTCATGCATAGAACTTGTTCATACACAATGTCACGTTAGAAAGATTAGAATAATTTTTGTATATGCGATGGAGGAGGGAAAAAAGGATGGTTATACAGAAAGCATACAAAACGCTCACTTCACGTAGCGTAACGTGAACGTGCGCGAGCAGCTGCGTTGTTGCTTTCGATTTTCAAACTTCTTAATGTTCTCGATCTTTTTTATTGCTATTAATTTCAGAGGTTTGATTAGTTTCTGTATCGTAAACTACTTATGTTTTTTATTTGTATATGTTATGAAACATTCAACCCGCGTAACAAAATTATTATATTACATGTTGCGTCTACTCAAATCTGCAAGAAAATACCTCATGTTATTTCAAGATAGAAGATTTCTACTATCGGTTAATTGTTTTTTTATGCGAACCTAGCACTAACTGTTCTCTGTAGAAGTACTACTTCCTTTCTTGCTTTCCTTTCGCCGTTTTGCACTTTTAGAAGAAACAGAAAACACAATCTAGAGAGAGAGAGAGAGAGAGAGAGATAGAGAGAAACAAGTAGTATATATGGACAGTATATAATAGAAATTGTATGAACTTTCCACTCGAATGTATAAGTTAGATCAGATAAAGTTAATGATTACTCTAATTTATGAAAGTTAGTATACTATGTATTGTAAATTACCATAGTGCTGTATATCAGCATTGACCGTCATTTTTCGTGCAGTTAATAATAATAAAAATAATAATAACAACAACATTAATAAGAACAAAAATAATAATCAGGATGTCACTCAATATGAGGTTTTTAATTTGCGACGAATTGCATGTATCCCAATTACACATATACGCGACATATACCCCATGCACACATTTTCATGTATGCATTTCTCTCTCATATTATTATGTACACTGACGAAAACGGTTCAATACTTGTCCTAATCCTAAATATTTCTGAGAATGAGTTAATTTGCCTTTGTCGTTAGAAAAGTCAGTTAGTTTTCGGTTTTGTACATAACGATCTGCACGAAGTGCAAGTGTGGATAAATATATTAAATTTATAATCGCAGACAGTGTTTGATATGTATCACGTTATTCGAATAGAATAGTAAATGTATTTCAATGTGTTACGCATTATGATGTTTTAGATCAATCGGCCTATCAAGAAAAGAACTATCACAACTAAGAAACTAAGGTTAAGGTGATCAGAAGTGGCTGATGATGGTTAGAAAAGACTTTGGGCTGTGCTGGGTGGTGCTAGGTCTGCAGGAAAAATACAGCAACGCAACTTTCGATATCAAATGACCCCCTCTACTGATCTTCTCAGGTCACCACCACGAACACATGAGCGGACTAGGTCGGTCGAGGTAGGGGACGGTCGGACTATGCGTGATCGATAGATGACTCGATTCCGCGTCGAAGATTCCAAATGACGTTTGTACTTGCCACCTGTTACAACTCTGGGCAGCCCGAGAACCGGCTGAAAAAACGATGAGCTCCTCACAAAAACTCCAAAACCCTGTATCTCTTCCGAAAGAAATCGCAGCCACTTGCTCGAGAGATCAATTTAAACGAAACAATCTTCCCTATCAAGCTACCGTGGACGCAGTTCGAATCGCGAAAAAGATTCACAAACATCGTTTAACATATTTTAACACCTTCTACCGACAAGTGCAGTAAGCTCGATTTCAATAAATTGCCCATGATGATTATACCAAAAATGGCTGCTTCCAGGTGATCCACCTAAACCTGCAAAGGGGCACAAAAGTACAGGTAAAACAGAACATTGAAGGAACACCTGGAAGTCGTCAGATTCTCCGAAGTGGACCACCTAAAGCTGAAAGGGAACACAAAGGCACAAACGAAACCATTGGGAAAGCGAGAAAGAGACGGTGATACAAAAGCTAATAACTTAAGAAAGTTACCATTAAAGTCGAGAATATTTCGCAGTGCATAGATCTCGTATAATTGACTCAGTAAAAATCTATTCAATTATACATTATTTGGCGTGAGAAAAATCAAATATATTTATCTTACTTAAATGCAGACTCGAGAAAATTTCGTGAAAAAGATAGTTCACCGTCTCTCCTCGTCAATCCTGATAAAATACGTATAAAAATATAGGAGGGACAACGTGGCCAAATAAATGATGATTGTCCGTTCGAAAGAACGAAAGACCATCGTAGTTGCCCTCTTCTTAAGGGGCCGCTTCGGCATATAGCCTCTTCGACTCTTGAAGTCTCTTCGGGCAGAGCCCCCTACGTCTCGAACGCTTGGCAATCTCCTGATTTGTCGGATTAATAAAAAAAAAAAAAAAAATGACTCCACGAGCAGATCTAAAAGCTAGCAAAACGACGACCTGCGATCCGAGGATGCGCAGTCCGAGCGTATCGCACATTTACTCGATTCCCAAGCGCGGTCTAATTAATTTCAGTGCTGAAAGAAAATTTGTACAA